TAGAACTTGAGCTGAATACTGGTGAAAAAGACAACAAAAAATGTTTTTACAACTACATCAGCAACAAAATGGCCACTGAGAATCTCCATCCTTTACTGTATGCAGAAGGAAACAGTAATGAAGGGTAAAGCAAAAGCTTAATGCTTTCTTTGTTTCAGTTTTTGACAGTAAGCCCAGTTATCCTCAGAGTATCAAGTCCCCTGAAGTGGAAGACAGGGATGAGGAGCAAAATGAAGTACTCATAATTCACAAAGCAATGGCTAGTAGTTGCTAAACCATTTAGCTGCACGTCTGTGGGACCAGATGGGATCCACCAAGATTACTGATGAAACTGGTTGGAAGAGCTTTAAATTATTTTAAGGCACCAAGAAGACACCTCAAATCATTTACCACAGTCCTGGTTGAAGGGGGAGGTGACTACAAATTGACAAATGTAATTTGCTATATGCCCTGGGTGTTTTGGTATGAGAGTGCATAGAATCCATTTTCCAATTCGTTTTGGATCGTGGATTGGGACACCCAAGAGTTTACCTAACATTTAAGGCACTCTTTCCGGTCTTGGAACGGAGAGCAGCTGTTTTTCCCTGGATTGCTAACTGCACAGGGCTAACTGCCCTATTTCCCCCGTCTCCAGCAGGAGAAGACCCTTTGGGGGAGGATCTGCTGCTTCCCAGCCCCGCTGCATCCCTGCGGGGGGGCGAAGTTTCGCCGGGAGCCGAAGTTTTTTTCTCCGCATCTTCAGAGCATGCTCAGACGGAGCGGTCTCTCTCCCCCCCTTCTCTCTCTCCGGGGGATGAAGAGTGGGTGGCGCCGCCCCGGCCAGTGCCGCGAGCACCGCCTCAACCCGGCCCGCGGGTGCGGGTGCTTTCCCGCATGGCGTCTCCCGTGGCGGTCCCTCCGGCAGAGCCTGTGGGCGCAGCTTCCCTGCGAGCTCAGAAACTCCATTTCCCGTGGCTGAGCCGCTGTTGCCAGGAGACGAAGACGCGGCTGCTGCTTCTGGCACAGCGGGGGAGGCATTTTCTCCGGCCTCGGCCCCTCCGCCCGCCCCCTCGGCCCCCCTGCCGCCTGCACCGGCCGCCCCGGCAGTTCTGTCGCCGTCGGGGGACTTTGTCCTCCATGTCTGCGTCAGAGGCTGCCCTGGAACCGGCGGCAGCTTGTTCGAGCTGGGACCATCCTGGGCCAGTTGCAGCAGCGGCCCTGGCTGCCGGCCTCTCCTTCTGTGGAGGAGGTGGAGCTCGCCAGCTGACTGTGGGTGCAGCCCATTTGCCTGCGTTCAAAATCAGCGTTCTCGGCGGGTTGGGGGGTGTTTGGTCAGTTGCTGCCCCTTGGAGGTTGCCGTCTCTGCCGCCCCTTGCGCGTCGCAGCGGTAAGGGGCAGGTGGGTCCCGGGAGTTCTGCCTTTGGTCCCCAGCCCGGTGGGGGTGGTGCCGTGAGGCAGATGGGAGACACACCTGATGCATTTGCATTGCAGAGACAGAGGGCACAGCGGGAAGCAATCATGGCTTGCTTGCTCTGGGGAACAAACATTCCTAGACTCGAGATGAGGATTCTTGGGGCTTCGTCTATTTGCCTGCTGCTGGCATGCCTTTTTTGGGGAAAGGAAGTGTCTCACCACCCATTCTGCCATTGTACTGGCAGCAGGGTGCAGGCCTGTGGCAAGGCAGAGCCTGCCTCGTGGGTTTGGCCTGGGCTGTTGGGCTCAGGTTCCTGGGCCAGGGCCACCGCCCGGCCTCCTGATGGCTTTGGGGGTTTTGCTTCCCCCTTCTGGCCCTGGCCCGCCTTTTGTGGGCCATATCTGGGGTTCCTGGTCCCTCTCCATGAGCCAGGGCCCCCCAGGGCCTCTCTCTGGCTGCTCTGCTGATGCTGCTCTTTTCGATGACACACCAAAAAAAAAAAAAATTATTAAGAGAGTTGAAATAGCTGGCAGCAGCTCTGAAGCATTGAAGGGCCAAAAATTACCTTCAGCCCCTTCAAAAAGGGCTGTGGCCAGGACATTACAAAAGTTGTCTCAAAATTGTTTGAAATTGTTTTGTGACTGTCAATGGACTTTTGATAACTATTGATGGACTTTTCTGCAGCAAGCCTGTTTCAGGATCAAAAGGGACTTTCAGAGATAGCGAAGAAGAACATCTTCAGTCCATGAACTTTTTCCTGAAGCTCAGCTGCTTGGACTTGAACTTTCTTTGCATTGTTTTTTCATTTTCTTATATTGTAAGATTGTTTTAGTGATTTGATAGAATTGCATGTTCTACAGGTGAAGAAATTCGCTGTTCATTCCACACCAGCACTTGATTGAGATTTGGATTAGCAACAGATAACCTGTCAAGTGTTTGTTCTTTCCTCTGCATGTGCACGGCAGAGAAAATTACAAACGCTTTCCTTTCTAATTTAAATTTATTCTAATAATATTTTTTAGAATATTATTTATTCTAATAATATTTAAATTATTTCTAATTTAAATAAATAAAAGAAAGGTGACATGTCACAGACATTTTTTAATTAAAATCCTTTTGTTAGGATTTTTCCTGCTGAAGCTCAGAGGTTTCAGCAACAAAATGTAAACAATGATTATCTGCTGCTGTGGAATGCAACAGGTGGATCCGTGATTGGTCTCGGGTGGATGTTTGGATTTACTGACCACTCACAGCAGAGCTGGGTCTCGCTTTCTGCTGAGACACAGCCCTTTGTTATTCATTCCTTTTCTATTCTTAGCTTCCTTCTGAGAACTTTCCTTCTATTCTTTTTAGTATAGTTATAATGTAATATATATATCATAAAATAATAAGTCAAGCCTTCTGAACATGAGGTGAACATTCTCGCCTCTCTCTTCATCCTGCAACCCTTGCAAGCCCTATAACAAGGAGGCTCAGGGGAGACCTTAGCAATCTCTACAACTGCTTAAAAGGAAGAGGTAGCTAGGTGCGTGTTGGCCTCTTTTCCCAGCTAACTAATGACAGGACAAGAAGAAATGGCCTCAGATTACCATTAAACATTAGGAAAAATTTCATCACTGAAATTCATCGAGTCAGGTATTGGAATAGAGCACCCACTGAAGTGGTGGAGTCACCATTCCTGGAAGTGTTCAAAAAACATGGGGACATGGTTTAATAGTAAAGTTGGTGATGTTGCTGGGTTAATGTTTGACTTACTGACCTTACCAGGTTTTTTCAGCCTTAATGATGCTTTGATTTTGTTCTATAACTCCATCAAAAACAGCTGATGCAAAGTTTAGTTCAGTATAAAATAAGTATTTCAGTAGAAGCAGTAATGCTCGTAGGATGTTGGCTAAAAATAAAGCCAGAAAAAAAAGATTGACTAGGCTAAAATAAAGAGAAAGCAAACATTAAAAGAAAAAAAAAACAAATTGCAAAGGACTTTAGACACTGGCATTTTAAGAGTTGATAATTGCTCTTGGGAGAGATGTGTACACAACTATTTTTAAATAGAGGTAGGTTACATTGTTTGCTTTTCATAGTCAACAGTACAGTAACTTAATCAAATTTTTGATACACATACAAAGGATTGAGAAGTTTACTCAACTTAGTATTTTGGCCTTTCCCTTTGTCAAAGATTTCAGTACCATGATACAGATTAATTAAATATGAAAGATGCAAGTAAACATGAAAAAGTTACAAGCACTGTCCTGGAACATGGTGGGGTTTTTTATCTTTAATTTTGCATAGAAGAGATGCAAGAAAGACAGTAGGCTTTGTAAGAAACATGTAGATGTTTTTACTTCAAAATACAAATTTACCAGAAATGCAGAATTAGGGCACTTTAGGTACATTAAAAATAGTAGAACTGGTAATTGCTCTGTCCTGGTATTTGCCATATCTAGTGTCATGGTTTGACCCGGAAACAGGATTTCTGGGATGCTGTGTGGATGGGGCCAATGAGTGGTCAGTTTTGAATATTGCCATCTGGCCTAACCACTGGGCACTGGGTCCACCTCCGAGAACACAGGGTAAAAGCAGGGCTCTCCCCCTGGCAGCTCCTCTTTGGATTTCCGGCGGTGAAGGAGTTGAGTCTCTCCCCCGGCCCAGTTGCTGGCTGGGCTGGGGGAGGGGAAAAGCCATGCGGCCCGGCCCGGGAGAGGTAGGCCTGGCCCCAAGGGTGGAAGGAAGAAAATGAAGAAATGCCGGGAAGCAATGGGCAGCCTGTTCCCCCCCTCACCTTGGAGACAGACAGAGAGAGTGCAGCCGGTGTTTGTGTGCCTTGTGTTACCTTGAAAGCAGTAAACATGTGCTGGCAGCAGGCAGCCCGGCTGAGGAGATGGTGGGGGGGTGCAGCCAGGAGTCCAGCCGCTTGGAGGAGTTTTTAACCCATTTTTGGACAATGAAAACTTCACAGAACACTAACCCTTCCTAGACGAGATGATAAGAGTGGAGGAGGATGAAGGAGATGAGTGAGTGATGAAAGTCTGGACCAGAGAGAGAGAGTGAGAGATGTTGGAAAGACGGAGAAGAGGGAGTGGCATTTTATGCTGGACTCTTTTTGTGTAGCCATGGACACAGCTATGTTTCCCTGGAATACAGAGACTGAGACCAGGGGGAGAAATGTCCCAGAGCCAAAGAAGATTCAGTGTGGGTACCCCTCGGCCCCAGGGGGTATATAAAATATGGGGGGGACAGATGTCCCAGAGGTGAGAGATTGAGCTTCTCTGGAACTGGACACAGCCTCCTTAAAAGGACAACCGTGGAAGCAGCCCTGATTCTGGTCCGGTGGTGAGAGCACCGGAACAAGGACGGAAAAGGCCACCACGACACATGGAAGGACTCCCTCTCCTCTTGAGGAACTGAAGTTGAGCATTCTAAAGGGTGGTGCTGGACCCAGAATTGATTTTGGATTGTATTGTATTGGGAATTTGGGGGGGAGGAGGAGGAGGAGAGTGTTTTTGTGAGTTTCATTTTCCTTGTTTTTTTCTTTTCTTTTTCTTCCTTTTGTGTGTAGTTTAGTAATTGTTTTTGTAGTTTAGTTAATAAACTTTTCTTCTTTTTCAAGTGAGAGCCTGCTTTGTTTATTCCTGGTCAAAATCTCACAGCAGACACCAGAGAAGGTGTATTTTCATGCAAGCATTTGGCCTTGTGCCAATGTCAAACCAGAACATCTAGGAACTATGAAAAATATTTGTTCTTCCTAGGTCCCTCTCTGGGTCCCACATGCTCAGGTTTTTTCTGCTTAAGCTGGAAGCTTCAATGCCTGCCTTACTTCACTGTTATATTAATGATGCTGATGTCCTCATAGGGTTTGTCAGTTTTGGGATTGACTTTGACATTTGAGATTCTCTGAACAACTTCCATTCCTTTAGTCACCCGTCCAAACACACTGTGCTTGTTGTCGAGCCAAGGCTGTTTGAAAGCACAGGAGGAAAAGAAAAGCATATTAAAATAGAAAGCAGCATGTAGGTTAGGTACCAAACCAAAAATAAAGTGTACATGGATACATTTTGTGTGTCCAGACTATGGAAGCCAACACCCTGTAAACATTAGCATGCAAGGAAATACTAGAATGTAGCTAACTCTGCTTTCTTAAAGTACTACAGAGGTCATGTTCTACCAGTGCAGTAGCACTGTATAGTTCATTTTAAAGTGCATTCTCAGTTCACAGAAATGTTTCAGTCTCTCTGTTTCATGTTATTTTCACAAAGGAATTTTAAGTGTCAGTACAGAATACTACCCAATTCAATACTGAGACGGTATGCCCAATTTCAACATAGGCCCTCATACAACTTAATAAACCTCAGAACTATGGTAGTTAGTTTTTTTTTTTAATATATTACTTTGAAGTGCTATAAGAATGCAGTTTTTATAAGCGTTATTTTTAAGTTTCTATATCTTAGATTCACATATCAAAATTTTTATTGTCGTTTTTATTGGCTCTAAATCTATACACAGATCAAATGAAATTTTTAAACCTGAACACTGGCTTCCTGGTATAGCTACAATCAGACACCATTAGAAAGACATCCTGGCACCCTATCCAAACCCCAAACAATCTAAGCAATACCTAGATTTCCATCAAGTTTAAACCACTATTATTAACATAAGATACTCTAGTAATACATAATTGCAAACATGCCTAGGAATTTTATACCACCCTTACTCCATTTAAAGGGAAAAGGCCTCTTGATCACATGTGATGGAAAAGTATTTCTATCTTGTAAAGGACAGTTTCAGTGAAGCCTATACACTACACATCACGAGTATCATTTATTTGTAAAGTAAGCACTAATGTGTTCCTTTTTTCATGAGAAAAAAGTTGATTTTTTACTATCTAGGTAGCCTCTCAGGCCTTAAATTGAGCTTTTAGCATTACTTACCGTTGGGACTACTGTTATAAAAAACTGGGATCCATTGGTATTTGGTCCTGCATTAGCCATGCTGAGTGTATATGGTCTGTCATGTCGTAAAGTTGAATGAAACTCATCTTCAAATTCTCCTCCCCAAATACTTTCACCTCCCATTCCTGTACCAGTTGGGTCACCAGTCTGAATCATGAAACCCTGCACAAAAATTGTAAGTGATCACATTACTGCATAGAATACATAACCATAAGTGTTATGTGCTAGGTGACATTTTTTCAAACTTACTTCAAACCTATCCACAAAATGTGTTAAAATGTTGTGTGTAAGGGAGAAAGCATTTAAGACTTTTTTGTGTCTAACAAGTACTTGAGAAAAAGCAAGGTTACTCACTATACCTGCCAATGAAGGACAGAAACCTGACTGTCTCTACCTTTTGCAAATTCTTAGGCTCTGTCACTTGATTCTGGTGTGACAGAAATAAAAAGCCTTACAAGAAAGGTATTCTGACATGAAGCAAAGTTTTAGTTCAAGCAGGATAGCAGGACTCATCTTTCAATTTTCAGTTTTCTGCTACCTTATCAGTTGTAGAACAGCTACTACAACTTTAGTAAGTGCTAAAGCTATTTAGGACATTGGAGCTGTTCAGAATTATAAGGAACTCTAAATGTACTCCAACAATCCTGTGTGCAAAAGGGAAATGGAATTGTTAACAGAGGACTGACCAGCAGAGTACATTACGTAAATTAACAAAAAATTAACATGTTACAAGTTACCTTGATGATACGGTGAATTATGTGTCCATTGTAGTAACCATTCCTGCTGTGCACACAGAAGTTTTCCACTGTTTTGGGGCACCTAAAATCATTCAGCCGAAAACACAAGAATATTTGTCTGGTGACAGGGCCATAAAGATTTCAGCTGGGACTAAGACCCCCTTGTGCTGTGCAATGTCTCAGGACTCTGTAGGAAGGGATTTAGCCAACTAAGGAAAAAACACATCTCCAACTCCTCAAACCTAAGCTTAAAAAGAGCTGAAAGCAAAAAGCTTGAGAATTACAAAGCTGTGTGATTACACAGAAAGGCAGCAGCCGTATTGATAGCACAGGGATGTTTTATCTGTTGCTGAGCAGGGCTTATGCACTGCTGAGGCCTTTTCTGCTCCTAATCCCACTCTGCCAGTGAGGAGGCTGGGGCTGTAGGAGTTGAGAGGGGACCAAGCTGAGACAACTGAACCCAGCTGACCACAGGGATGCTCCACTGCACATATGGCATTATGTTCAGCACATGAAAGCTGAGGGAAAAAGCAGGGGACATGCAGAGTAATGGTGATTTGCCTTCTCAAGTATCCACTCCATGTGAGGGAGACCTGTTTTCTTGGAGATAGTAGAACATCTGCCTGTCCAGGTTCCCTATTTTGCTTTGCTTGGGTGCATGCCTTTTGCTTTCCCTATTAAACTCTCTGTACCTCAACTCACAAGTGTTTTCACTCTTACTCTTCCAGTGCTCTCCCATTCCACCAACGGAGACATGAGCAAGTGGTTCTGGGGGTCTTAGTTGCTGGCTGGGGTTAAACCATGAGAGCCAGAAACCAAATCTGTCTCCTGAAGGCCTAGTTCAAGGCACCACTGACTATAGGTTCCCTAGTTTTCTATCTGCACTCCCGATACGGAGAAAATGGCCATGCTGAGTCCATAGGTGTAGAGTTACTCTAGTCTAACTGTGAAATGAAGTATTAGCTTGGGTTTTAGTGACACTCCAAGCTATCTTGTGAAAAAGAGCACCAATGTCATAACTAATGGAACAGACTAGATTATAGTCCCAGTTCTTGCTGAGCAGTACAGAGTCATTCACAATTTTATTTCACAATGAAATGACCGAAGAATTCAAAGATGTACAGAGCCATATCCTATATGCTCTTCTTTAAAGTTTTAATCACACTAAAGAGATTTTAATTTAAAGCTCAGCTGGGAGAAAATACTACAGTAAGAAAGGACAAACCTAACAATGGACGAACCAACCCTAGTAATGCTCTATTTAAAACTGCATACAGAGCATTGCAGTGAAGCACCTTGCAATACTGTGCATGTATGACACATTAGCATGACAATTTAAAGAAAGAATTAATGTAGCTTGACCTGTAACTTGCTAGCAAGAGCTCTACCATTACTACAACCTATATGCTATAATTATGAATTCCAGAAACTAGAGCCAGATGCAAGGAAATACTGGTAAAGACTGCAGTAAAAGTCTGGTAGCCCTAGAGGGTAGAATTGAGGTTAACCTCCTGTGCTTAAGACCAAACATGAATTCATTTTTGGAGACGCATGGAGTACATCAACATAATTAAGGTTTCTATGTACAGCAATATATTATATAAATTTCCTGTTAAATAACAGATTATTTGCAATTTTTGCACCACAAAAGAGAGAGAAGGACATACTGATTTAGCAATTGTCATGCAAAAAACTTTTCAATTCTTTGCCTGGTTTTGCATATACACAACACTAGTATTATATGCTGGTATAAATGTTATATGGCTTTTAAAGGAGCTGCAATAACAAAGTGTAGTACACTGGCCACATTCAGAAATTGCAACTACTATTCTTCTGGCTCACACAAACCTGCTGCCAAATCTGCTGCTGCTGCTAACGTCATCTTTCTTTTTCAAGATCTGTGCAAACAGCACTGCCCTACAATACAGAGCTTACACAGAAGAGTATCATTATCTGTTCAAGAACAAAAGTTAAGAAAGGAAAACCCTCCCTGAATCAATAACTAAATAAACCCAAACACAATTCCAAAAACTCCTGTGCCCCAGACTATTTTTATTACCCTACTTTATTTTTGTTTGTTAAGAGTCACATTCCTCCCTTAGCATATTAAGAAACTGTCAGGAAACAAAACCAGTAGAAAACGGGAAAGAAAATAATTATTTCTAGCATGAGATAAGTCTTGGACACTGCAACCACAAGGGGCAAAAGAAAGCAACAAAACCAAAAACCCCAGAAAAAACAGCAACTACATACTCAACAGGAAAAAGCTTGATATGAATATCTCCCATGCTTGTGTGGATGATGGCACTGTCTGACACTCTTTTGGGACCTTCTGCCTGAGTGGCTGCCATGACCTCTTCTTTAGAAGGTTTCTCATTAAATACATCTCTGTCAGAATCTGCACTCTTTGTGTCTTCTGGTTCGCGTTTAGTAAACTGAAGCACAAAAGAAAAGAAGGTTAACTGTTTTTTTCTTTTTTCCTCTTAAAATACACAGTGCCCTGCACCCAACACATCAATGTCATTATTCAACCTGCTGAACACCCAATTCAATTTGAAATGTACAAAGACAATTCATAGACAGTCTATCCTTGGACTGCTGTGTTATGTTACCAGCATTTCCACAGTCACAAATTCCAGTAAAACTACATGCAAATCCAAATAACTTTTAATAATCTGTTATCTTTAAACTTTTCCCTTTACAACAAGAGTCTGCACTAGTTCAGCATCTTTTCTTTAAAATGAGGTGGAGAATACCAGGCTGTTTTGCTATATTAAAATGAAATTGGCAAGCTTTATGCCAAAAGGATTACCAGTGCTTTGCAGTTGTGCTACAAAGTTAAAATAAATCCTCCTATTCCAATACTGCATTAATATAAAACTACAGAGACGCAGCAAATTTAAGGCATAACAGACAGTCCAAACTCTAATCTCTATGGCTATGACCTCTCAAATGAGCTACTAACCACTCTGAAATTGTTTGTTTGGTTCCATCTCACCTAAAAACCCAACTGTGAACAGGAAGATGACCCCTTTCTTGATTGCTTATATGTTCTTATTGTTACTAAGTCTTGATTCTTGTCTGAAATTTTTTTCTATTATATTGTTTTATGCATACAGTTGCTTATTGTTTCTTTATAAAATCTGGTTAGTTTTTTAAGTGCTCTTACTTAGGTTCTTTTTCAACAAGAACAAAAGGATATCTTCTTGGGGGAATAAAAAATCTGTGAAAAAATCACAGCTGTTTCTAGTTAACATACAGATAGTTCAAGATAAAAATTCTAAATATACTTGCAACATAAAGAGACTCCTTTGTAAAAGCTGCATTTACAACTACAAAAAGCACTAGAAAGGTGCAAAGAGAAAAACAAAAAATAATGTAGAGTAATCAATACAAGAATGGAGCTATCTAAATAGAAACCCCACACACCATGTAAAACCTGTTTTTTTTAAAAGCTGTGCAGATTACTGTTGGATCTGCCTGAATATTCTGGAGAACAGGATTTTCAGATGCCTTCATCTCTATAGTGATCGCTGCACGATGTTTCTTTGCTACTCCTTGGAACAAAGCCAGTTGCATCATTCTGATGTTCTCTTGTTTTCCCAAGATACGAATACACCTGAAATTCAAGATGTAAAGAGGTGTAACGTTCAGCTGCTCACAGTCAGAAAATATCTTCTTTCTGAATGTTAGATTCAGAGCAAAATTTCAAAATCCTCTCAAAATAATTATTTACTAATAATTTTTATGATGTTTCTCTATTTAAATTTGGTACCTTAATTTACCAGTCAGCCTCCTTAAGCAATAAAAATCCCAACAAAATGATCCATCTTTACTTGACATTTACATTATCCCATCCAGTTAGATAGAAATTAATTACATATTTTTAATACATGTGCTTGCTATATGTCTAAGCTGTAATCTCCAGCGACTCCTTACAAAGAATGGGAGCCTTACAGTGTAATGTAAGGCTCTCAAATAAGAACACAAAAAGATTAGACACCTCCACAGTCATATCAAGTTTTAAATACATTCTAAATTTGACTGAATAAAGACTTTAAAACAGAAGTTTATCTCTCTGTGTGTCACAGGAACTCACCTGTTAGTCTCTACATTTATGACCTTAATGCCCAACATAGTTCCATAGAGAACGAAGTGTCCAGTTTCATCAAAAATTATATTAATTAATCTTACTGCATCCACTTTCTCCAGCTCACGCTCAACTGCCATACGCCGCCCAAACTCCATGTCAGGCAGTTGTTGTCTCATCTGCTGAAGTTCAGTAAACATCTACAAAAAAAAACCCCAGCACTATAATAACATATTTTAAACTTTTTTTCCAGTAAAACACTGATTCACATGATTAGAAAATACTGAATTCAAGTGAGATTACTCCATTCAAACTTAACTGAAGGATTTAGATAAATACAAGGAATACTCTCTTTATTTTAATGATACAAGAGGCATGTTGTAGGACTAGGCTTAAGCATGAGAAAATGTGCAGTTGTCTATCAAATTTCTTAGAAGATGACAAATTTAATTCATTTTCATGGTGTCACTTGCAATGGGCTTTGTCCACCATCTTCCACAATTGCTTTCTAGTTAAGTGTAATCTAGCAGCATGAAAACAGAAATGAAAATCAACAACTCTGTTTCACTATGTAGGTAACATAACCAGCAAGAATTCATTTTGGGGCAAAGCAATCTAAGAGACAAGCAAGAGAACACCTCTTGGTGAGAGAAGGCCTTTTTTGCAAGGAAAATATGGGAAGGAAGCTTGCCTTTAGAAATAAACTATAGCTTAGGTGAATGTGCTGGCAAACAAATGCAAGTAAGTAGAGAAAGCATTTCAAGAAGGAGAAACAAGACAAAACTCACACTCAGAGATTCATCAAAGACTCTCATGAGCTTTCCCGTCAGAAAACGAAAAATTCTAACTTTTCTGTCAGACCCAAGAGTGGCCATTTTCTTGCCGTCGGGTGAAAAACTTATACTGGATGGGTAAGCCTTGCATTTAGCAAATTCGTATAGATCGGTATCCGTTTTATACTCCCAGTTCACATTCTTGGGAAATTTATACTCATGAGGAGTACCGGTCCAGTACTCGATCATTCCGGACTTGTCCGAAGACACAACTGCTTTGTAGACAGGGTTCAGGCGTATCTGAGTAAGAGGGGACATGTGGAGTTTATCGAAAACGTGAAGTGGCTGGTTATTTCCTCGTCCATCATATATGAATATTTTCCCTGTACTTTTCTCAGATGTTGCAACAGAAGATATAGCATCTCCAGGGCAATATACCCATTCACACTGGCCAGGGTGGTAACTGCAACAAAGAGTAGAAAGGAAAAAAAGTTAAAAATAAAGTAGGAATGGTTTTAATTAGGTAAGAGTCAAATTATGCTGTAAACTTGAAATCAAACACCAGAAGCAAATTTTAAAATTTATTTACTAGTTTTGCTAATACATATCTTGCTAATATTGAGCATATTATAGGCAAGTTTTACCAAGAAATACCATTCAGCAGAAGACTACCAATTTCTGTTCCTTCCATATTGTTTTGTAAAGAGGCTGTGATAGTCCAAGTAAAAAGTGGGTAAAAAGGACTAATTTGGATAGAAATTCAGATAAAAAGCCCAAGCGGCATTAATATATAATGTAAGTCAACACCATTCCTTGTCCATCTTTTAAGTGAGTAATGACTCACTAGTATTGAAGACAACTGCACCTCTGCCATACACTTTTGCAAAAGTTCAACTAGATCTTGCCAGAAAAAACCCCACAAACACAAAATCTCCAAGAAGTGATACAAACCAAATTAAGACAAGCCCTCTATATTCAATAAGGGTTGTGAGTGCATTTAAGAAGAAACTCATGTGCTACTTGCAAAAATGTACAAATAAGGTAAGTCAGAGATACAGTCAATAATATGTCTGTTTTAAAGTCTGTAAGCAAAGATTCTGAAAACTAGAACTCAAACTAAATTGCAAACGGCAAAATAATTATACAATCTCCAGAGGAAACGTGTTTAGTATCCTTTTACAAACTGAACTAATGAGTGCTGATGGAGTGATGATAAGACATTATGACAAGACACCAGTAATTTAGATTTTCAATTTCTGTCTGTAAAGAGAAACAAATACTTTGTCTCAAATTCATTAGGAAGAACAGGATCAAATAAATATGAAGTCTCTGCAGAAATAGGCAACATTTTCCAGATGACATATGGAAGCATAAAGCAGAGAGCTAAAGATTTGCAGAGAGCCATGGTCTGTAGATTAATTGTAGAACTGGAAAGCTCTGAAGATCAGGGGTGCTTTTTTGAATATAATTTTCTTTTTTCTGTAATTTCACCAATTTTGCAGTAACAGTACAGGGCTTTGTCAAAAATGACAGCGAAATCAAAAAGCTTAAGCCTAACTGGAATTTTTCCAGAACAGACAGAGAAGAGAGAATCAATTCCTACAGGTGAAGTACATTATCTGGAGGATGACACTAAAACTGCAACAAACAAAGCAGATAGCATATGCTTTTATTACATGTTCTTGTAAAGGCTTCTTTCCCTGGCTTTACACTTCTATTCAGTTTCAAAGCTAACCAATACATCATGTTGTGGTGTTTATTTTTCTCTGGTATTGTTATAATTCCAGCAGCATCCATTCCTGTTTCTCCCAGATCCTTCAGGTACATAATGTGTAACTATAAGACTAAAGAAAAAAACAATATTGCTTCTAGCAGAAAAAGGAAATTGTATCCCTATGACAACAAATAAGGCAATACAGGCAGGACAAATCCCTTCCCTAATGGAACTACTAACAGACTGTAATTTTTAAACTCAGTGCCAAACAACAGAGAGAAATTATGCTTAGCTAAATATTTGGAGAAACCCCACATCTTTGTGCATAATATGTAACACTGAGGAAGTTCCTTTTCTACTCCTCTCTTCCAGTGCTGCAGTAGTAATTTTTTCTATTCAGTCAGGCAGTCTCCAGCCATTGGATTAATTTCAGATGCAGGTTTACTCAACTTCATATGACTGAGGCATGGGGGAAAGGGAAGAACTCAAGAACCCCAAATTACTGACTAATCTCTTACCAAAACAACCCCCACTGATAATCTCAAAAGAACACTTCTGAAAAATAAGTAACTTACCCGAGTTTCAGCATGTTGATCATGTCAAAGTTGACTACATCAAACACCTTCATCGCTTTGTCATCTCCAACAGAACAGAACAATGCCCCCTCTGAACTAACAGCAATACTCTCAATAACACCTGTGAATTAATTTAAGATACTATTAAGAAATAGGAAAGGACATCCTTCAGTCCAGTATTACATACGGAAAACCTACAGAGGCTGAAACCTGTTTCCCAACTGTTTTGTCACCTTTTTCATTTAAAACTCTACCTGAATTCAATTAAATATTATTTAAAAAAATAAAATTCACAAAACAGCACTTGATGACCTACCAGTATTTAGACTCAGGTATGTGATAATCAAAAATTTACGAAAAACATAGTAAAATATTATAATGGCAGTAAATTTAGTTTAAAATGTTGATTTTAGAAAATTGGGAACATTATGATGGGGTAAACATCATGTGCTCCTCAGCTGGCATCTCTCAACAGAGTAAAAGAAGCAGAACTCTACAGATTATTACACCCATGATACTCAAAACTCCTCTGCAACTGAGCCTTCCATAAAGTTCTCACAATGCTGATTTTTCACATGGTAGGTTTTGTTCATACCTTTTGCTTCTATATATAATAAGAAGCTGATAGTTAACCAGACTTTAGTATTTCTTGTCACTCTGAAAGGAAACCATGCTTTTACTACCTATTATTAAATATTTTTCTTACTGTAACATTCTGCCTATCAAACTGGATGTTTTGGCTTCAGGCATATCATAGTTACTAATACTGTTGAGAATATAATTTTCTGTCCAGCCTATTTAATGCTTAGCATAGTGTTGAAAACCTTTGTGTACTTATTAGCTCAGAAAATTGGGTTAAAGTTTGTCTTAACTGCAATTCTTCTGATAATTACAACAATAAGGCAAAATTTACTCTACAGTTACAGTACTCCAGATGAAAATAACTACTTTTTTTTCCACACTGCAAGGGGGAAGAAAAAGACTGAAGTATCCTTATTTAAAGTAACATATTTTTAAACTTCTCTGGATTTTATGAACACTTTTGTATATCTTGTTCACTTATGTTCCAGTTATTCTCCCACAATCAGGCACAAAGCAATGCAAAGGCCTCATTTTTCATTTTCATGTTTCATTTTCATCCTATCCCTGCTATAGCTTGGGAGCAAAATGTAACAAGACAGAGGAATAAAAGGAATATTGGTAGATATAATTTAATCTCTGACTGCAATAAAGGAACCCCAGAAACTCTCTCTCTATTTGCACTCTCTCTTCAAACAACAAAGAGCAAGGGAGAGGAAAAAGTAAACTCCTTTAAATAAGAAAGAGCAACTTCTCACCCAGGTGACTTCGGAAGTGTTTAACAAACTCAATCCCTTCTTCTATTTTCTTCCAGAATTTTACATGTCCATCATGACTGGCTGTTATGATAAAATCTGTCCTACAATTAGAAAAGAAAAATAAAATAAAGAAAACAGATGCACACACTATGCACCTTCCCACTGGTCAGTAATTTGCACTAGAATTAACACTGTGCAGAGAATGAATCTCAAGAAATTACTGTGAAAGTCTCTCTGAATGGGTACTTTAACTCCTGGAAAAACACAACAGGTATTTTAGTGCATTCTGGATTAATCCATGAAAAGTCAAAATGAAGAAAAATATAACACTATCCTTTTTGAATATGTAAATATAACTCCTATTTTAAGTCTGGTTTCATGGTAGTTACAATGTGTGTGAGTGAGATCTCTGCAATTCTGGTGAATGGTATTTTTTCAGAGGGAGTAAGTTACTACTTACTCCTGTATTTCCTGCATATTTTAACAAGGATTTTAAGACTCTCTTTTAGCCTATAAAAACAATTTGAATCTTGTTTCTAGGTAAGCAAGATAAAACTTTTTTTTTTTTTTAAAAACCCACCATCCTTTAAAAAACCACAGGACACTGCAACTTTCTGTTATAAAGCTTCTACAGTGAAAACTTCTTAGTCTACACAAAAACACACCCCAGATGAAGAAATATAATGGAGAACAAAAATACTTACTTTGTACATGCCACATGTGTAATAACATCTCTGTGCATGTAACTGCGCTCATACATTGAAGCTGACGGAAGATTTTCAAGATAAACATGTTCGAATTCAAGAACTACACAGAATAGAAAGAAAAGTCAGGATTTTTTTTTTCATGAAGTTACATCTACATTTTGTTTTCTTTTACCTATCCTTTTATTGCTTACTCATGTTTAGTCAAAAATATGCAGGATTTTGTGCAAACATAATTAAAGAGCTTTTAGGTCTGGTATTGCACTCAGACTTACACATTTTCTGTGGAATAAAGCCACTCAAATGCTGCTTTAACTCATATTGCTCCATCCTCTTAAGGCAACTGCTACAGTAACTGTCTTGCTGTTTCAAAAAGAAACAACCTCAATCAACAGTTTTTAAGTTACTGCCAGAAAACAGAAGGTCATCTGAACCTCATTTCATTCTAAAACCACATGTATCCCTTTTGTTTTCACAAGATTTGTGATCCCACACAGGTCCTGTAGTCTAAATTTTAAGCATATACACCTATTTCATTGTTTAACTGGCCAATCTAAAATAATCTGATTTTGAGTTTTGTTTCTGATCTTTAGATCCTACTTGTTAACACCTGTGCAACAGTATTTTTTACTGAACTTGCATGTTTACATCTGATGATCATTGTTTTTTATACTTAAAGAAAACTTTAAGCGATACCCAGAGAGCTGGAAGTTGCTGCACACATCAACACCACATGCCAAAACACAGCCCGGAGGCTTCTGCTGCTGCAGCTTAGGGTGGTGATCTGAAAGATGGATTAACTCTACAACAATTAACAGCACAGCTTCAGCCTGCACAGCAGCAGGGCTCTTAGCCTTAAGGTGTTCTCCAGAGGAAGCAAAGGTCTTAGAGTCACAGAATGTTAAGGGGCTAGAATAAGCCTTAAATACCATCTAGCCCCCTCCTACTAGACAAAGCTGCTCCAAGCCTTATTCAGCCTGGTTTTAAATACTAGCAGGGTTGGAGCACCCAAAAAAATCACTGGGCAACCTGTGCCAGCACCTCACAGCAAAGAATTTTTTTTTATAGCTAACCTGAATTTTCCTTTTTTCAGTTTGCACCAACTAGTCTTGATGCTATCACTGCAGTTCCTGTCGAAGAGTCCATCTCCAGCTTCCTTCTAAGTCCCTTTAGGTACTGGAAGGTTGCTATGAGGTCTCCACCTAACTTCCTCCTCTGCAGACTGAATAGCCACAAGTTTCTCAGCACCAGGCACCCCCGCTCTGTAATTCCGCATCTGAAGGTTTCCCAGTGTGCTCATTTTACATACGAGACGCAGCTTCAGGAGCCGGGCTCCCG